TATATTTATATTTATATATCTATTTATTATTTATTATTTATTATTTATTATTATTTATCTATTTATTTATATATCTATTTATTATTTATTATTTTTTTTATTTATTATTATTTATCTATTTATTTATATATCTATATTTATATATCTTTTTCATTTATTTTTTGTCATAATTAACCCCGGGACTGTTTTATCAGCTGTGATCTTCAGAACACCTGACTTGAAACTTATTCTAATTTGTAAAAACCTGTTAAAGTCTGCATTTGTTACAGCACATTCTTTTAACTCTTCAAAGCTTCTTAAAGTCAGTTGTTAAGGAAATCACGATATTTTACCAGATCAAAGTCCTTTAGTCTTTACTGAAGGACTAGCAATCTGTTTTGTTGGGAATAAAGTTTGAATAAGAAATAATTAAAAGTAGTGCACTGTATCAATGCACTGCTTATCAGTGTTCCTTATTTTGTTTTTCTCTGACTGCATCAAACCAAATTTTAAGTGGGGTCTCCATCCGTGGATTAGTTTGGCACTTTTGCTTATTATAGCTTGTAGTGAAATATCACATGACATTTGGCCCTCTATCTTTCCGCTGTGCTGGATGGGTTGGGTAAGATAGTAAAACGTTTATATTTGGCAGAGAATGAACGCAGTGCTCTTTGAAGAGCCAGGTGTAAAGTCTTACAATGCAATATGTTCATTTTGACAGCTTCTGCTCTTTGTGCAATATCCATGTGAGGCTGAATAAGGGCAGGATGCTGACCTTTAATGACAGTCCAAAAAACCTCAGGGAAAACATGGCAGCACAGCAGCGCGTCACAGAGTACTGAGACAAACTGAGACTTCAAATACAGCCGAAACCATGAAACACGAGGCCAAAGGACGGTGACACATTCCTAAACAAGGATTCAATCTTTGAAATTAAAGGTTCAGAATTCATTGATACAGTATTATTGAGATTTGGGGGCACTCACCTCAAAATACTTCACTGAATCTGAACCCATTTTATTTTCAACAAAATGGTAATTAACATATTTATTTAACTTAAAAACCAGAAACTTTTTCACATATCAAACTGTAAAAATTAGCTCTGGGAAAAACATATTTTGGCCCCTGTCAAGAGTGCAAGAGCGGAAACGTGGATGACAAACCGCTGCAGCAGAAAAGGACAATAAAGGTTCTTTTTCTCACGGCACACTGCTCAGTGTAGGATATACATGCGCCCTTCTTCCCTTGTCGAGTCTAATCAGGAGATAAATAAAAAATGTCCACGACTACATCTTTCATTATATGTGGACAGCAGTCTTACGTTGTTTTTGTTTCAGGCCTCTGATGTGTCCAGGAGTCGAGGGGCTTCTCTGATGGCCAGGCCGGGAAACAGCTTGGTGGCTGCTATACGAAGTCAGCATTATGCTGACTCACAGCAGCTGAGCGCTCCATGTAAGCCCATCACCGGCACATCGTTTGTATTTTTTACTGATGAGTCG